GTAGTGAGCTTCCTATTCTGAGGCACGCAAGCGGAGCATTCAGGCTTTCATTCATTCACTTGGCTACAAGTAGGGCCACCTGCCAAGCTGCCAGGCAATGGAGCCGTTGGTACTGTGAGAGCGACCTAGGACACTCAGGGAGGGCTCTCTGAAGGAAGAGGCATCTCAATTATCAGTCGTCCCTGCTGAGTCTTGAAGGATTGTGCCTGAAGTGCCAGAGACATGTCCAGGGTTGCTGTGCAGCCAAAGCTGCCTTTGCAGGCATAGCCATACTCTAGTCCTTGGAGAATGCCTCTATTATCCATTGTACAGACAGGAAAGCAAAGCTTCAGGAGGGCCTGGGGAGGATGGAGCACATCCTGAGCCTACCTTCAGTGACACTGGGAAGGGAGGAGGGGAAGGGACAGAGGTACAGAAGGGAAGCAGGGTCCATGGAGAGCTGGCATTGGTGGGCCAGTGGGTACTTAGCTCTGGGGCACCCCTCTTCCCCTCCACACCGCTGTTAAGCCTCACCCAGATCAGGAGACCCTATGGTGGGGTATGAGGGAAGCTCATCTCCCAGCCTGTCCAAGGCCCCCACTGCCCCATCATGGCTCTCGGAGGGGGTTTTCTTTGTCCCACTCCTCATCTTTGCTCAAGGTCTCCAGACCTGTGTCCTCTGCCCCAGCTGAGAACCTCAGAACCTCCCAGCCCCTGTTCAGCTGGCCCACAGGCTCTGTTCACACAGCCCTGGAAAGTGCCCACATGTGGACGGGGCAGGGGGCCTGGACGGAACTGGTGCAGAAAGATGCCCAGCCAGAGATGGCTTCCTGGAGTAGTTTCTAGCCCAACCTCATGCACTATAAGAACAAGGCACTGTCCTTACCCGCTTGGCACAACATCTGGCTCCAGGCCATGGGGTCCACTCTGCCTTGCCCAGAGCCCAGGGTGCCTTCTAGAAAGGGATGGGACCATCTTGCTCCAACATAGACCTGGCAAAACTGGCCTTAGGGCAGGGCCGACCTCCTCCTCAGACTGGGTTCCCAGTGTGGACAGGGCCATGCCTCTCCTGTGAGGCGTAAGGAGGTCCAAGGACCCCACTTAATAGATGGGATGTGGCCCATGTCCCCGGAGGAGCTGGGTGAGCAGGGTTTGAACCTAACACTCTGACCCTGCTGGCTGGTAGCCTGGGCCCCTAAGAACTGGGCCATGCTGTCCCTGCAGGGGCAGATGTCCTTCCTATCCTCAGACCATCACTGCTGCCCTCATTCCAGGCAATATCTAGAGAAGCAGGAGGGAGGCGTATGGCAGGGAGGGATGCTTGGTGCCAGCCCACCCCAGTGAGGGGCTTGGGTGCCCACACACCTCCCCTTGTCCTGGGCGGAAGAACTACCAGTCCTGAGAACCTCAGTTCCCTCGTCTGCGAATGCCATGGAGCAGAACGGTATTAATCACACCACCCCCACAGGGCTGACCCCACAAGTTCACCGAGGAACCAGGGAGCCCAGCAGGACACTAAGGCCCGAGGACTCCTTTCCTGGGGCTCCCAGCCCAGCTCCTCCGTCACCAGGCCTCTCACCCAGAAGGACCACTCCAAGCACAGGACTTAGGTGTCACCCTGGGTTCCCATCGTTCAGGGACAAGGGCTCCAAGAGGAGCCGCAGGGGTGGATGTTGGCATAACATTCCAAGGGGCACTGTGACGGCAGGAAGGAATGGAGTGTAGGGACGGGGGACACGGGGTAGGTGGGTGGTCCTAGTTTGCAGTTACCATCCATTCAGTCCCAACTCACCATGACCCAGGCACACCACAGTCATGGCCATGGCCAGCTGTGTCCTCACCGCCCACACAGACCACAGACATGACCACGTCCAGGAGTGTCCTCACTACCCACATATGCCACAGTCATGGCCACGTCCAGCCATGTCCTCACTGCCCACACACACCATAGACAAGGCCACGTCCAGCCATGTCCTCACTGCCCACACACACCATAGACAAGGCCACGTCCAGCCATGTCCTCACTGCCCACATACACCACAGACACGGCCACTTCCAGCCACGTCCTCGCTGCCTGCCACGTCTGAGCCCACTGACTGCGTCAGTCCATCTCGTGGAATGCCCTCCTTTTGTCTGACCCTCTGTCTTACCCCTGGTGGTGTCAGTCTGTGTCAGACTGTGAATTGAAAGGTCAGCAGTTCGGATCCACCACACACTTGGAAGAAGATGGGCTGTCTCACCGTTAGGATTTACAGCATCGGAGACTCAGTGAGGGTCACCATGGGGTAGGCGCGATGCGGCAGCTGTGTCTGCCTAGTGTGGCTCTTACCAAGCACAACACCCTTCTCCAAGGACTGCTCCCGATAACGGGTCTGAAGTATGTGGGTGAAGCTTCTCTGTCCTTCCTCTGAGGAGCCCCCTGGCTGCACTTGTTCCTAGACAGGTTTCTTTGATCTTGTGACAGTCCAAATACTCTGACAACACCACAACTCGAAAGCACTGACTCGTTCTCGGTGTCGAGATGGATGAAATGGAAAATTCACGGCTGTGGTCCAGGCAATGGCCAGGGGCTGGGGGTGCGCCCAGGGTCAAGGCTCAGTGTAGACCTGAGATCAGGGCTCAAAGTGTAGCTGCACGTGGTGAGACTCAGGGCTCACGTGGCCAGGGTCAGGACTTGGTGGTGCCGAGATTGGGGCTCAGCCTTGTTTGTGGTCAAGGGCAGTGGAGCTGAGAAGCAGGTGTGCTGTGCTAGTTTCATCTGTCCACTTGAGCAGTGGTCTCTCGTGTGTCCCTTCTAAGCTGCTGGACTCCTCCGGGGTTCCAAGCCCGGGCCCCAGTACAGCGGTTGGGGGAGTGGGAGCACTCAAGGCTGCTGGCCTTGCCAGGGTTGGGGAGGGCTTCACAGACCCAGTCTCCAGAGGAAGGGGACATTTAATTTGTCTTGTCGTGACTAACTTCGCAAAGTCCCAGGCCAGCTCTGGTGCCTCTAGGGTTCTGTCTGTCCAGCACCATCTTACACAGGAGGGAAGGGCCTACCAAATGGTGTCCTCCCTTCCTGGGACCCCAAGGGCTCCCTGCTATGCAGAGGACCAGAGCTCAAAGCCTCGCCCCAGGCCCCCTCACCCATACACCACCCTCTCCTCTCCCCTCCAGAGTCAGGGGATAGGGGTATCAGAGGAAAGCAGGGCACCTCCTGAGACTCCTCCCATGGGCCTGTGACCCAGGAGGAGTGACAGGGACATTGGCACCTGTCCCTCCAGCAGTTTCCAGGGGCAGATGCCCACAGGAGGTCTGAGAATGGAGCTGGGGGAGGGGTCTGTGTCTCTCAGTCCCCCCAGGAGGGAACTGCTCCTCAGAGCTGCACAGTGGTCAGTGCAGAGGGGCCAGTCAGCTCTGCTCATGCCCTTGGCCACCAGGAGGGGCACTAGAGGGCAGGGGCTGCTTCCAGTCCAGGTGGGGGGGAGGCACTATGCCCCAATGTCCTACCCACAGGCTCCTTCCGGGCTCTTCCCAAAGGCCTCTCCTTTGCCCCGAAAAGGCTAGAAATGTCCTTATTTGGAGGATCAGCCCCGTTAACCCTTCATTTATAAATAAAGGGATAAATCACAGCCCAGTTAAACACCCACAGGCAGGAGCATAAACAGAGGGGGCAGCCCCAGTCCCATCCTCCCTGCCCTTCCCTGCTGCCCAGCCCGGCCCCCTGCTTCCCCTCAGGCTCGTCCCTCACCCACTGTGCCCTGTCCGCCCACCCTTGCTACTCCCCACTCCCCACCACCCTGCCCCCAATCCCTGCTACTACCCACCTGCCCCCCTGGCCTGACCCCCTACATCCCCTCCCCCGGGCTCTGCCCCTGCCCACCCCCATGTTCCTCCAACCCTTCCCCCTGCTGTCCATTACCCCAAGCTCTGCCCCTGCCCACTTCACCCTATTCCCCAGCCCATTTCCCACCCACTCACTTTTGCCCCCTGGCTTCCCATCCCCCTAGCCCTTTTCCCTCCTTTCCAAATCCCCCTAGCTCAGTACCCCCACCTTCTCCTCCCTTCCTTCCAGCCCAGCCTACTGCCCACTCCACCCCCTTGCTTCCCACCCACCCTTTCCTGTCTCCCCAGCCCAGTCTCCCTCTCACCCTTCTGTCCCAACTCCCACCCCTCTTTCCCCAAGCCCAGACCTCACCCATCCCACCACAGACCTGCCTCTCTCCCTGTCCCCCCAGCCCCAGCTCACCCCTTCCCTGTCCCCCAGCCAGGGCCGCCCTCTTCGGGCTGGGAGGGGGGGGAGCTATGTTTATTTGACTCACACTTGGTGGGATGTCTGCGGAGAGCCTGAACTCCAGCGCACGCCTCAGCCGCCTCTTCCGAGGGCTTGTGACTAGCATGCACTCTCGGAGCCAGGAGAGGCTGGTGAGGAGACCGTGGCTGCCCTGTGAGGCTGGCTCCCTGCCCTCCAGCCCTGGGCCGTTGTCCAGGCACTGCCTGAGAGGCCGTGACAGTGTGCCTGGGATGACAGTGGGATGAAGCTCCAGTGGGCAGGCCCCCTTGCCAGGATAGTTCATCTTCCCAGCTGTTGAAGAAGCGAGGGAGGCACAGAGGGGTTAGGAGACTGCCTGAGGTTGCACAGCCAGCAAGCAAGTGGAGGAGCTCAGATCCAGCACCCCACAAGGGTTGTGCACCCCACCAGGGAGCTGTGGCCTGCCCTGCACAGGCCGGTACCTTCCTCTCCACATCTCCAGACAACGCCCTCAGGTACCAAGAGCTTACTGCCCCTGCCTGCAGTTCAGTAAGTTTCAGAATGCCAAAGCAGCACACTGCTGAGTGCCAAGGCATCCGCCCTCACGACCCCACCCACAAGTGCCATCTCGTGCCTCCAGCAGGGTCTGGGTGGAGAGGAGAGCCGCACCCAGGCCCCAGGGCCAGCCTGCGCAAGGCCACAGACGCTGGAAGCCGGCAGGTGAACCAGCAGGAATCGCCACGGCCGCTGAGCCTCTGTAACCCAGCTCCTTCCTTGCAGGTTCGCCACCGCCATGCCCTCTGCGTCGCCAGCGGGGCCCTGGGCCTCGGCCGCCCCCAATGCCACGGGCCGCTCGTCTCCGGGGGCCAACAGCAGCGTGCCGGAGCTGCCTCTGTTCCACGTGTTCGCACTCCTGGATGAGCAGCTGCACGCGGCCTTCCCGGGCCTGTGGCTGGCGCTGATGGCGACGCACGGCGTCATCTTCCTGGCCGGGCTGGTGCTCAACGGCCTGGCGCTGTACGTGTTCTGCGGCCGCACTCAGGCCAGGACGCCGTCGGTCATCTACACCATCAACCTCGTGGTCACCGACCTGCTGGTGGGCCTGTCGCTACCCACACGCTTCGCCGTCTTCTACGGCGCCCGCGGCTGCCTGCGCTGCGCCTTCCCGCACGTCTTCGGCTACTTTCTCAACATGCACTGCTCCATCCTCTTCCTCACCTGCATCTGCGTGGACCGCTACCTGGCCATCGTGCGGCCCGATGGTGCGCACCGCTGGCGCCAGCCCGCCTGCGCGCGGGCCGTGTGCGCAGCCGTGTGGCTGGCGGCGGGCGCCGTGACCTTGTCGGTGCTGGGCGTGGCGGCCGGGGGCGCGCCCTCCTGCCGCGTGCTCGCGCTCACCGTGCTGGAGTTCCTGCTGCCCCTGCTGGTCATCAGCATCTTCACGGGCCGCATCGTGTGCGCGCTGTCGCGGCCCGGTCTGCTGCGCCAGGGCCACCAGCGCCGGGTCCGGGCCATGCAGCTGCTGCTGACGGTGCTGGTCATCTTCCTCGTGTGCTTCACGCCCTTCCACGCCCGCCAGGTGGCCGTGGCGCTGTGGCCGGAGCTGCCGCACAGCGCAGGCCTCGTGGCCTACCACGTGGCCATGACCCTCAGCAGCCTCAACAGCTGCATGGACCCCATCGTCTACTGCTTCGTCACCAGCGGCTTCCAGGCCACCGTCCGCGGCCTTTTGCGCGGCCGTGGTGCAGAGTACGAGCCTGGCGGTGATGCGCTCGTCATGCAGAAGAGCGCCAAGAGCTCTGCACACCCCATCCTGGGTGCCAGCCCATGCGCCCTCACGCAGGCCCTGGCCAAGGGGCCTGAGGCTTAGTGACCAGTAAGGGGACCAAAAGGTCATTGCTGGCCTGACTGCGGCTCCGAGGACCCGCCTCGTGCCAGACCAGGACGTGTGCCGGGCCCGCACTGACGATCCGGTTCGTCCTGATGCGAAGCTGTGCGCACTGCGCGGAGCTCGGCTCCAGAAACACCCCAGTCCCTTCCTCCTGTGCACACTGCGCCGGGCTCGGCTTCTGGAAACATCCCAGCTCCTCCCTTGTACGGTGGTTGAGTCGGCACTGGCTCCAGCGAGGTTCCAGTGGGATGCTAATTCCTGGTCATCCCTGGGAATGCTGTGTCTACTGAACACTCAGAGGGATTCCCACCAGGCTGCTTCCCTTTCTCCACCTCCTCACCATCATCGTGGTCACTGGGTGTCAGGGCTGGGCCCCAAGGCCTACGGCCCAGCAGCTGATTCTCATCAGGACCATGCTAGCCCCAGGAGGGGTTCCCAGAAAGGACAGAGATTGTTGGGTGCTGGGGATCCGCAGCTAACCAAACGTGCAGCCGACTCAGTTCAAACTCACACCCGCTCCATCCATCACTGAGACTGTGGATCTTTACGGAAAGAGACGGCCCATCTCTGTCCTATGGGTTGGCTGGTGGATGAGAACCACCGACCTGCTTAGAGCCTGATGGCTTATGCACCCTAGGGGACCCCCTGATACAGTTGTTATGTACCCTTGAATCGGAACCCTCCATCAGGTTTTCAGAGGCTGTAAATCTCACAGGAGGAGACAGTTGATCTTTCTCCCATGGAGCAGCTGGTGGACTCGAACCACTTGCCTTTAAGTTGGTAGTAAAATGCCTTGCCATGTGGCCGCCAGAGTCCTCAGGGGGCCCCAGGGAGCTAAAATAACACCTGAGGAACTCCGCAGGCAGACATGGGAGAGCAAAACCTGAAGGACAAAGCAGACGTGTGACTGGAAGGGAGGGGTGTGGCCCTCAAGGACCTCCACTGGGGCATCCATGACACCACAGCATGATGCCAAGGCACCCATGGGCTCTGCCACAGGCAATGTGCCATCTCGGTTCATGCCTGAAGCCTCAGCGGTCTCTTTTCCCATCTCACAGAACTGGGGAGAGAGGGAGGGAGGGAGGGAATGAACACAGATGCCATGCTGGGCAAAGGTTGGGTCAGAATAAGATCCAGTTCCACCTGGTCTGGTGCCCGCGCTGCCCATGTGAGCACTCAGACCTCCTCACAGCCCTTACTCCAAGGGGCATCCTCGGTGGGTCCTGCCCCAGGAGGAGAGGAAGGCTCACTCCCTAGCCTACCCATGTGAAGAACGAGGACACATGGTGGCTGCTGGAGCTCCCAGCCCAAGGCCACAATCTCCCTGGACACAGGCCCTTTGTCTCCCAAGGAGCAGCCTAAGACTTGAGCTGCTGAGTTTCTTGTCTCTGTGGAAGAGCGTTTATCTAGTTTGGGCCTCTGATCACCTCCTCCAGGCTTGACTCCAGGACTTCTCCCCACATGCCTTCTGACCAAGTCTGAGCTCCTATGAGCCTTTTCAAGACCTAATGCAGAGGGAGAGGTCTGTGATGTAGGATGGGCACCCCCACTGAGGCAGATGGGATAGTGAGGAGATGGAGTCTGGTGGAGGCTTCACCGTTTGTCTACTGAGAAAAGTGTGTTGGGGTGACCTGCATGGGAACAGGAGGCTGTGAACACAGGAGGGCATGGATTAGGACCCCCCCACCTCGGCTCTAGGCAGATCATCTGTCCTGCAGGCTATAGAACAGCCTGTGTGGAAAAACTAAAGCTGTTGAGGTTCCCATTTCACAGATGAAGAAACCTGGTCTCAGAAAGAGAAAAAGTTCTTGGATGCGGTGTGAGTATCCACGCGCTTCAAGGTCCAGTACCATTTTACCACCGCCACTGGGGTCCCCAGGAGAAGAGGAGACACTGGAGTTGGAACCTCTGACTCCAGGACCCAGTGGGAAGCTGGGGTTAGAGGGTGGCAGCTCATAGTCCCCTGATGAGGAGGACCTGGAGACCAGAGGGGTCGAGGCAAGCTCACAGCCAGACAGCAAGGTGGTGGTGGACTGCAAGTCCCGCCAGGCTGCTTCCTTTCTCCTCCTCCTCACCATCATCACGATCACTAGGTGCCAGGGCCCCAAGGCCCACAGCCAGGGTTTCCCCTCCACACCTCCCCCCTTGTCCCTGCAGTGCCAAGTCCTCTGGTCCCTTCTCTGTCATTATCGAAGGCCCGCTGTGTGCCAGGCACTGATGGCCCCCAGCTCCCTGACACAGCTCAGAGCAGGCAGCACTCACCCACAGAAACCCCAGGCCCCCAGCCAGAGGAGGAGGAGCTGGCTGCCCTCACGCTGCTGTCCACAGGCCATCCCAGCAGTGTGCACTGGACCTGACAGGGGTGTAGGGTGGTTTCCAGGAAAGGCGACGATACAGAACTGCCTGGTTCCAGGGGCTACAAGCCAGCCCAGGGCAGTCACAGGTCCTGACCCACGGGGGTTAGTGCCTGCAGCCCAGCACCTCTGGGTTAGCTCCCAAGGCCATGCGCCCAGCTGGCCCCGAGCCACTGACACCCTTAACCCACACCCATGCACTATCTTCAGCTGGAAACCCTTGGGAACCATTAGTTCAGGGACCTTGGGCTCACTTAGAACCCCAGAGACCACCCACCAGCTCCCCTACCCATGGCCTGGAGTGACACACCCTCCCCAGAGACCACCCACCAGCCCCTCCATGACC